ACTCCAGAGTTGCCAGTGCCACACGAACGCACCAAGCCAAGAACCAGGGCATCAAACCATGCGGCTTGCCTTTTGTCTGAAGGCATCACGATTGGAAATACAGTAATTAATATAATTATAAATGATGACGAGGCTCTGCATGCAACTGTGAACGCTTGGATTGGTTTCCCTTGATCTGCATGCATGTGTCACCGTTAATGATGATCAGTTAGGCAGAATGCAAGTGCGCCGTACAACCTTTATAGAAAAGATAAATGTCAGTGTAGATCCCGACTCCCTCCGTTTTTTACATATCCTATTATGTTTGTTCTAAGGTCAAACAATCCCAACTATACAAATCAATTTTTAAAAAAATCATGTAACTTCACAACATTTAAATTATATGAACATTTAAATTATATATATTATAAATATATTTTTCGATAATAGATTTTAAAACATAAATCTTATGTTGTTAACAAATATAAATTTTAAAAAATAATGGTTAAGGATATAAATATTTAATTTCGAGCAAAAGGCAGTGCAACATGTAAAAAAAATAGAGGGAGTACGTGGTTGAGCTACCTTGCACAACGTTATCTACCTCTTGCTATTTTTTTCTTGGTCGATGGTCACATGTACAATAGTACAAGGTCAAGGCCCACCTTACTATTATTGGTCAATGGTATGAACAAAATAGATTGAAGAACTTGAAGTATGTAAGTTAAAAATGGTTTGTTCTATGACTAACTCCCACATGCGTGCCAATATCTTTGGAAGATTATTTATCTATATGAGAACTTTTATTCCCATATACAGGGGCAGACCTAGCATCAAGTCTAGTTGCTTCTTTTTCCTCCTCTCCACCTCTCTCTCTTTTCATCTTCTCCTCACTTCTTCCTCTCTAACCTTTTAATAGCACAAGAGCGCCTGTGTACATACTGAGTTATGAAAAACAAACCCCACGGGGTCTGCAGTGCCGGTCATAGGATTTTGAGGGTCCTCTGACGAACTCGTCGTGACGGCCCCTATATACTATTTATAAATCTTATATAATATAATTGTCCCTCGAGACTATATATAAATGTATCACGTGCTAGCAAACTTTTGCTTTGACTTGATTTGAACAATTTGCAGCAATAACAAAAAAACTTTGTCCACATGTTTAGAGTAAACCAACCATTTTCTATCAACCACCTCATCATTGGTTAACTTTCTGGAGTAGTAAACATATGAAAAACGTCTATTAAGAGCATCTACGGGGAACTCAAGATTTAATTCTCTCACCGACGCCTTTTCAATCAATATATCTCTACCCTTATTATCAAGATTTCTCAAAGTTCTAGGATCAAAGACACCATGAATATAAACTTATTGCACACCATCAATTGAATTTTCAGGTTGAGGGGAAGGCTGTAAATTTTTATTCTCTATAGCATCATCATTGGCATCAACTTCTTCACTTAAATTATCATTAACTTGTTGCTGCCCTTGTTCTTCAAACCACCTAGATTATCATTGCACTAACTTTATCTACGCGACAAAAAACGATCAAGGAAAAAATACCTAGGGGCTGTACCAAATAAGTATCGATCTGATGATTGATGAAGTGATGATCATTTTCATCGCAATGATAATCGATCGAGTTGAGCCTAACTGGGCTGGAGAGTTCTCGAAGATTCAAGATTTGTCTCAAATTATACCAAACATATTTGGTTTTACCCGATAAGGAGACGGGTATGGAAGACATTTTGCACCTTTCGTTATTTAAATTCCCATACCCATCGGTATATCTTACGGGTGTGGGTGTATACTACCCATCCCGCATACCCTGGGTAAAAAAACCCCATATAAATAATATCCAACCGCAATTTTAGCCCATAGAAGCATATAGCCCATATTTGACCCATATGTTATATGAGTATATATATTCTAGAACTCCCTCAAACCCTAATCCTCATCCTCACTCCACTCCATTAGACGATTAGTGAGGGACGTTGGGCTACTTGACCCCCATACTCCGCTTTGTTTCATGGCTCGCCTCTTCCTCTTCTCTACCATTCTCTCCCCAATCCCCACCACGATGGAGGGTCTCCAATGCCTTAGTCCCCACAGGCGCCTTCTAACGAATTGGCCTAGCCGCCATCTCCCAGTAGCCATGGTGGAGAACTCTGAATAGGACAAGATGATAGCCGGTGATGTTTACTCAACCCTAACCTCGAAATCCATTGTTAAGATTGCAGTTGTTTTTTGATCCTATTTGGACAACATATCTATCCTCCCCCGCCATGTTCTCAAACTTATCGCCCCACGACCATCGGATCCGGAGGAGGCGAAAAGAATGGCGCATGTGCACCGCCTACCCGATCTGCCTCATGCGCCACCTGCACAAGCCTAACTTTGCCTTGTTCGCTAAGCCGGGCCAAAGGGCATCCAGACTGGTCCCAGCCAAGAAGGTAGGCCAAGAAGGGTGGTTCGGCCTCCCCATCTCCGACGAGCATAGCCTTTTGCTAGAAAGTACAAAATCAGCACCTCAAACGCAGCCTTGGGTAAGCAAAGATGACAGATGCTGATTTGTGGAAAACAAGGGACACTACTGATTTGTGGACTCGACAACTAAAAGAGAGGTTATATGGCCATCACAGCACATTTTATTGATGAATCTTGGAATCTTAGAAATATTCTTATCGGTACTAACTTAATTCTTAGATACAAGTTGCATAGCATGTTGTTGTCACCTTGTCAATCAACACTCTTAGAATCTAATTTTGTTTGTAACTATTGAATGATAGGTTCATTTATGTCCCGCTCCTCACAACAAGTAATTGGTGAAGAATTGTATGTGCTTAGTTCTGCTGGAATCTTGATGAGAAGATATCACCATTACTCTTGACAATTGCACTACCAATGAAAATCCCTCTACTTGTGAGGAATATTGGAAGACATAAGCTCTTGAATGATGGTAAGACAGTATGTGCATTACCATATATTCTTAATCTGATAGTAAAGGAAGGCTTAGAGGTTTTGAAAGATGCAATAGAAAACATCCGTGATAGTGTCGCATATAGGATAGCTACACCAAAAAGGATTGAAAAATTTGAGGAAATAGCTAAGTTTGTTAAAGTGGAAGCCACAACTAAGATAGTCCTTGACTATAAGACTAGGTGAAATCCAACTTTTAATATGCTTAGTCATGCATTACCATACAAGTCTGCTTTCATTAGGGCAAGCATAGGCTGTACACTTGCTTGCCATCTGAGGATGAGTGGAAATTTGCTGAGGATGTTGTAGGGAGGCTAAAATTGTTCAATGACATCACTAAAATGTTTTCTGGGACATATTATGTAACAGCTAACATGTATTTCACTAAAATTGCTGAAGTTAGAAAAGAGATTAGGGAGTGGTCAACTTGTTGGAACACTTTAAAAAAGCCATGCCCAATATGGTAGCCAAGTTTGACAAATATTGGACTGATATTCAAGGGTTCATGGGCATTACAACTATTCTAGATCCTAGAAGAAAACCACAAAGGTTGCTTGATTTGTTTTGAGGATTTGCTTTGGGACAAAAAGGTTGGGAGGCGAGGATATGAAGTGAAGAATTTGTTGGGTGATTTGATGCTTGAGTACCATGGGGAAGATGATGTGGGTCAAGTGTCCTCCCACTCGCAAGGACAAAGTGATGATTTCTTATCTTCCATGATGGCTCGTGTTGCTAGTAGACGGCCAACAACAATGGGATTCAAGACCGAGTTGGATCGCTACTTGGATGAAGAGCTATTGGACATGAATACTAAGAATTTCAGAGTTTTAGATTGGTGGAAGGTGGTCGGAACTCGGTTCCCAACTTTGAGGAAGATTGCTAGGGACATATTTGCCATTCTGAAGGCATCTGTAGCCTGGAAAGCTTTTAGCACTAGTGGTAGGGTTTTAAGTAAGCATAGGTGCTCACTACCAAGATGATAGAGGCCCTAATGTGCTCTCAAGATTGGTCGAGAAACAAGTATAAAGGTATATTTAACAATGCTCCTATGTCTATTAGCTTGCTATTAATTTCACCGCATATATTTATGATATTCATGCAAGCCAACTCATTTGCTCACTTATGTTTGCTAGTTGATGAGAAGAACAATAAATTCGGTCATGTCTTAGACATACAAGAGGGCTTGTGTGATTTGCCATTCTTCAAATGTGTCTATTTTAGCTTCTTTGTGAATGTGATAATAGATAGCTAAGTTGTGACATGTTTATGCTAATGTAGGAACTCACCATCTCGAGGACAAATGAACTGGCCATGAGATGGCGCCCTTTTGATCACAGGTGAACAAGACAAATGATGCAAGAATTGGATGACATGCATGTGCTTCCTTTCGATGTCTTATCTGTAATTGCATTTGTGAACTTGTATTTGTGTGGTCTCTCTTTAATTCATGGTAGATGAATCCATGTGAACTTGTAATATTTAGTATGTCAATGCTAAATTTGGAAATTTGAACTTGAAAAGTTAAAGATGGTGTGTGTGTGCTACTTTTAAGCACACATTTAATTTGTAGTTTGTTGGAATGAACCAATGAGGCATCGATCTATTTCAACTAGCTTGACTGGATATATTTACGTTTTCTCGCTCTATTGTTGATTTTTTTTTTGGTCGGAAGCTATTATATTTTGGTGTGTGAACTCGGGTATAAGGTGCGGGTTACTATTATTGGTATGGAATGAATTTTCTAGATTGAAGAACTTGTAACCCAACGGGTAAGATTTTGAAATGGTATGGGTTCTAGTGGCTGCACTCCACCACGTGCGTGCAATGCCATTTGAGTTTGCCCCGACGCCGATTATTTGATCTGCGTCCTAAGAAAATTTGTTCCGTTCCGTGTCTCGTGACTCCGTGAGAGGTGAGTCGAGTCATGGCTGCTCCGTCCCTCCGTGACTCCTCCCTCTCTCAGATTTTCATCTCCTCTCAGGCCTCAGTCGTGGTATTCTACTTTAAGGAATAGGGTATCAGATAAGAGCCTAGGCCCCTCACTCCCATGGGCCCTCGGCCGTCGCACCTCTGGCACCCCTCCAGGGCCGGCACTGGGGTCTGGATCCGCCATTGTTCTCCAATGACCTTGAAAACAAAACAAGTACTTCATTCGTCCATGAATATTGAAAATATTTCCAAGGCTCTACATTTGTCCACAGACCAGGAGGGGCTTGCTGATTGACTAACTTTCATATGGATGGGATGACCTTTTATTTAAAAATGCTGAGGCGCCATCAGCCGATGCTTACAATCCGGATGGTTGATTGATGTACTGCCAATTGCAAATGAAGAATGACACCCTGTGCATAAATAAAGAAAACAGTTGATGAATCAAATCCCACAATCATGGCCATCAGTCTGAGAAAAACAATAATAATCTGCCACCCATGCATACTGGTGAGGTCTATAGGCGCTAGTGCATACGTCGTAGGGTACAACTAAACCACACTGCCGATGACAACAAGTCTATGCCGTCGTGGGAAGAGATTATACAAAAAAAATGGCACAAACAAACAGTACGTGAACCGGATAGAAATTTGTTGCAACCGTACGAAAACAGAATCTGTTGCAACGGTTAGTACATATGAGCAGTGAACGAGAACCCTCCGTCTACAAAAGAATGCAATTATCACATTTTGAGAAGTCAAAGAGTTCAAACTTTGACTAAAATTATATGAAAAAGTACTAACACCCATGAGACAAAATAAATACCGTTAGATTAGTTATAGAATATATTTTTATAATAATTTTATTTAGAGATATAAATATTAATATTATTTATTTACTATAAACTTGGTCGAACTTAAACCAGTTTGACTAACACGAGTTACTATAATTGCATTCTTTTTCGTGGACGGAGGGAGTAGATCGATCAATCAAACGTGCCGGGAATGGAAATGTAACCAACACTGCCGTGGTACGTGAGTCTGTTGACGCATCACATCAGATCCAGTATTCCAGTGGCACTGGCAGGGCAGCTGCGTGACTGATGGCTGAATGGCTCCGGGAACCAGAACCATACTGGCACATTAGCAGCGATGGATGTGATCACTGCGTGATTGTTGCTGGTCCCCGTAGTAGCATCAGTAATTGGCTTCACTCCACTGGTTGGAACTTGGATGGTGGCACATCCATCTCTCATGATGGCGCCACTGGTGATCTTTGCTGGTTCAAAAACGTACGTTGCCACGTCCATTTCAGTATGGCCTTATGGGGACGAGTTCTAGTCATGTGACAGTAACAGTCAAACGGTAACAACTCCAATGACCCTTAAACTAGAGAGACCAGAACAGATTTTGCAGCGTTGCAGATTTCGTCAGGCTGAGCTTTGGTTGTTGGCAAACACAGTCCAGAGCAGCTTCCGCAGCGTTGCAGATTTCGTCAGGCTGAGCTTTGGTTGTTGGCAAACACAGTCCAGAGCAGCTTCCGCAGCGCTGCAGAGATTCTGTCAACGCAACGCAGCCCACCGTTCGAGAGTCCCAGATGCCTGCACTGCAGGGTTCCCGTTTCTGTTCGTGCCGGCCCAAGCAGAGCAGAAGCAGCTGCAGCTGCAATATGCAGAGTACCAAGCAGAACAATTGCACAGAACGAACCATGTATCCAGAAACAAGGGTTATATATATCATGCTGTGTGAAACCTCTCAGCCGTAAAATCGTTGGAACGATTCTTCTCTTCACTTGCACGGAATTTGGGACCTTATTGGCGTAAATAAACAAGACAATGAGCAGGAGCCACGCATGGAAATTTGGGTCCTGTTGCTCCAACCGGTGAGGCAGCCGCAGCTGCAGCGGCGATGGATGGCCAGAACAACAAACACAACAATGCATCTGCAGCTAAATGATCATGAATCTACAGTGTCTTCAGAGACAGGGCGAGGCCCCTACATCTCGGAGCTCCTCATCTTCTCGCTCACGGTCGAGCCGAATTTTGGCCCACCCTTCCTGTATGACATGAGGTACTCCACCGGGTACCCCTTCAGCTTCTGAGGCATGATGCCGAGGTCTTCGAAGGTGAGAGCTGCAGAGGATGTATGGGAAATACTTGAGCAAGATGCATTGAGCAAAGCGAAACAAGATATTGCTCGGTTTGTAAGTGAGATCCTCACCATCTTCAGACACGAGGTTGTCTACAGCGAATGCATTGATCTGATCTAGGTTGAAAATGGAAGGGGTTGGCAGGGGGAACGGCACTTTGTTGAGCAACATTTCCCTTGGGGAAGCAATAGCCTGAGAACCACAGAAGTGAATACAAGAGTCTACCTAATGCCCAGTTTTCTGGCCAACATTTACTAGTAATTAAATTCATACCCTTGCAACAGGAAGAGGAACATTGACATATCGCGGCCATTCACGGATTGTTTCATACATCAGCTCAGCCTGTCATAATCAATCACGGTCACATCTCCTTTTCCTTCACATATGCAAATTAAAATATATTCATCAGGACAAGGTTGGAGTAACAGTTACCAGCTCATGGACAGTGTAAATCTCAGGGCCCCCAAGTTCATATATCTTTCCCATGCTAGTGCCGTCATCCTTGAGGGAGTTGACAATAGCAGCAGCAACATCAATTACATAAACAGGCTGAATCCTGCAAAAGGAAACAATATGTAATTTAACTGCTGGCAAAGAACTTCTAGCATGCATAAAAGATCATTTCATGTCCTGAACTCATTTTCAGGTCAGGCATCAGGAGGAGAGTCAACAGGTAAGCTCAATTACTTTGTAGATCCACCACCAACAAGCGGGAGGAAACCCCAATTCTTTGCAAATTGTGCCCATCTGTTCAAAATTCGATCTTCTGTGCCAATCATGGTAGCAGGCCTCATGATTGTAGCCTGTCAATGGATATAAACAAAATTTTGGTTAAACTCATTGCTTAGAAAAGGGATACTAGAGTACAATTTACTGATGGCTTTGGCCTTTGGATGGTCCTGAAACAATAATTATCATAGCCTGGTGAATTACTAAAGCTGAAAAAAAATTATCACCTCAGGGAATTCTTTCAAGATTGATTGCTCTCCTGCAACTTTTGTCCTCAACATTCTAGATTCAGAAGACGGTGATGCCCCTAGGCAAGAAACCTGGATAAATCTCATGATACCACCATGCTCCTTAGCAATCTGTGTAGAACAGAACATCCAGTTACTAGCCAGGCATCGCTGAAAGTCTTGTCACGAGTTGTATTCTCATATTGCAAACATAAGTAACATAAATGATAGGATTTTTTTCCCAATTGTTTATGCAGCATAAACAGCTAGTGGCTTGATGAAATTATGTAATCAGGAAATTCCTCAGGGTAGTGGCTTGATGACGAAATTATGTAATCAGAAAATTCCTCAGGGCAAAAACTCATGCACAAGCAGCGGTTCTATTCTTATCAGAACCTGCCAATATAGCCCTAAACTAACAGACCAATGACGCAATGGCTCAGTGAGAGGAGAGATATGTTATTTACTTTATACTTTAAAAAGGAAGTAAAGCAACATCCTCTACACTGAACCAAGAAGCTAAGCCCTACAAGCATTTACAAAAAGAAAGACAAAAGTGAGATAGAAGAATTCATCTTAACCAAAAGGCCAGCTACAGTTACCCAATGTCAGACTAGAAAAGGCTAATATATCTTTGATTTGTCATGCCAGATCTGGGTGCAACCTAGCCTAAGCCAACTACACAGGTACAGTGAAAATCAACAGCCATGAATTACACGATCCTGTTAAGTGGCAACCTAAACTTGCAGTCATATGCAAGAGAACTGGGGAGATTGGTGATGATGTGACGTGCATAGGTGAGCCAGAGGCCCAGAGCCAGGGTCCCAGGGCTCAAGTTTTTTCACTATGGCTGGGCACCATCGAATCCTAATTTTAAATGGCCCTTGCAGAAATAGGTTACATACTTTCCCTTTCCAGAAAAAAGGCAACATATTTAGATAGCAGATCTGAAACAGAAAGTAAAATGGACAGGGCATACCGTTGCAAGTTGTTCAGCCATATGGTGGTTTACTTCTTCAAAGCTGTAGTTCCTTGTTTCATACTCTCGTCCTGTTGAAACGGAGTTAACAAAGTCAAAATAAGATGTGATCATGAAAAGCTGAATACAATATATGTACCAAATTAAACACACCTATGAGGTTAATAACCACATTTGACTTGGCCATAACAGCCTTAATTGAATCAACATCTCTTGGATGGTATTTCATCGGCACAATCTGCCAGAAGTCAAAAGGATGAATAAATAAAAAAGGATTTAATTGCTAAACACAGTAATCTACTTGTTTACTGTTTTACCTGACCCAAGTCACCCATAATCTTCAGGTGGCGATGAGAATCCTCACAACCTCTGAATGGGACAAGCACTTGAGATCCCATCTTGGCTGCACAACAATTAACGTTTGAGTAACCCTTCTATTCATAAATTCAATTTATATAGCATCATAGTCTCACCAAGTTGTTGCACAAGATAACGCCCAAGAAACCCAGTAGCTCCAAATACCGTGGCTACAATTCCACTATTAAAGCAAAAAAAAAATATGCTCATTATAAACCAAGGTAAGGTACATGATTAAGACAACTATAAACTATGACTGGAAATTTCTAGTGTTTGCATACAGATATGGGAGATGCGATGATGGAGCTATCATGCTGGACCAAGAAATATAAGCACATCACACATATGTACTCTAACCTAAATAGCTAATTTCATGTTTTGAGTTTTGAAGACACAGTGCAAGAGATGAACGGTACTGTAGCATTGCAAAATAAGAAAAGCGGCTCAGGCTACGTTGCAACGGTTTAGATTCCATGCAAAACCAAACCAAGCAACGCCATCCACTAAAATATGTCAACTTCAAAAGGCACAAGGATTAATGCATCATCTACATGGTTAAACTGATTAACATGAGCAAACCAATATGCATCACGAATTAACACAAGTATCCACCTGCCTGTAACTCACAAAGCTACGAAAGCCGTCGGTACACAAAATGATAAAGGGCAGCAACTTTGCCTGATGACATAGTCCAACAACTTAGGTCATAAATTGTGAGCAACCTAACAATTGCAAAGAAAACATCAACCAGAAAGAGCTTACTAGCAATACTAGTAATAAGATTACTGAAGGTTTTCATATATCACCACACACTCTTGCAACGGTAACCGTGAGTGGAACTGTAACTCAGAAATTTCCAGGCTACAGAATTCTAGGGTCCTCACTATATTTCAGATCAGGCAAAGTTAATGGTACGAACATTTCAAACAATAGCTACCACACCAAGCAATCAACTAACTCAATCTGGTGCATGCATTGCCAAGTGTGATTCTATGAACTGCATGATCTGATGAACTGAGCATCACAAAGGTCATGACAAGGCTGACTAGGCACTCCATCTATGTTTGGCAGTTGAAATAGATCACAAATTCACAACACTAGCTCAATCTCACCCAGAGGGCTAACCAGGTACAAGCCGTCGCAACACTTATGGCCGTTTAATTCAGGAGCAATCAACTGGAAGGAAACGGAGTCCGAGTGTTCACCTCACAGAAGACCTCCCTCCGGTGCCCTTGTGGACGAGATGCCCGGACCCCTTGACCGCCGGCGCCCTCGCGGACGACATGTACCTCGCGCCATCCGCTCCACACAACCCTGAAAGGCAACTGGCTCTGAGATCTATCTATCCGGGAGGGGCAACGCGTGCGGAGGAGGGAAATGGTAGCTACCTTGGGGAGCGAGCCCAGGCTGGGAGGTGGATCTGAAGGCGGCGATGGCGGCCGAGGTGGAAGGGGAGAGGTGGTGGTCGAGGAGGTGACGCCTCCACGCCGCCGCCTGCATCGTCGCTGTCCTTGTCGCCGGTGTACGGTGGTGGTAGTCGGAGGAGGAGGAGGAGGCGACGAGCGGGGCCAAGTGGTGGTGGCGATGACGACGACGACGGCGAGAGAGAGAGAAAGGAATGGTAGGGTTGGAGGCCTTGGGGGCGTCCGGATTTGCCAATCCGTGGGCCGTGGCCCAACCCAGTCCCACGCATTACTAGGCCTAGGCCCACTTCCAGCCGTTACAGCGCAGCCAATAAGGACCGCTGGGTGAGCGGGCGGACGGCCCAGCCTCCCAGATGACGTGGGCTGGACTTCTGCGTTGTTTAGGTACAGCTGCAGGCGGCAGCCGATCCGGGTTGGTTGCCTCGTCGCCTCGTCGGTTTACTTCCCCTCCGGCGAGCTCCACGGCGGCGCCGACGACGGGATGGACGCGCAGCCTAACTGGAGAGGTGGGGCGGCGGCGTCTAGGCTCTCGTACAAGAACGCCACCATCGCCGTGTGCGCCTTTAACCTCCTCCTCCACAACTACTTCTCGTCCTGGACGCGCATTGCCGGCGGCGACAGGCTCGATTCCGGTACGGTTCCGTGACCTCGTGTTCACCCTGAATTTCTGATTTTGGTTTGGATGTTTGGATTGAGAGGTGTGCTCGGTTTGGTCCCGATTTAGTAGTACGGTTCACTGGCCAGCGAACTAAATCTAGGAAAGTTCCGGGATTTTCCCCAATTATTAAACGTGGGTTGCGAGCTTGTGATTATAGCTCGGCATAGGACATGTTGATGTCGATCCATATTTGCAAATCTGAGCACCTGGGAGAGTGATGTGACCCCCCCCATCCATCCTGAGTTCCAAATGAGTTCTAAGATTGTGCATTTGCGCTTGCTCCAAAAATGCCTATGCTAGGGTTACCCATTATCCTCTGTCAGCATTCTCAGTGCCCAACTGTTAGATCCTTGATGGACTTAAGCCGTTTTGGTGCTTCGTTAGAAAATTCTGCTCACAACTCACATTGTGACTGTGCATCTCGCTTCTATTATTAGATAACTAAATTCAGCTTAAGTACTGGGTCCTACTATTGTGCAGCTCAGCTTCGGTATATATGGGAATCTGAGGAGTTGCGTCGTGCTATGGAGCCTGTGGATTTGATCAGAAGAGTATGTTTCCATGCACTTTGTTTATAGTGAGTGATTTGAGAAAGAAATGGGGATACACACCATGTTGCTGCATGGAAGACCTTATTTTTGAGAATTCTCGTTGATCGTTACATAGGTGAAGGAAATAGAGCAAGAAGCTTATGGTGAGCATGGCATGGCGACAGATGAAGATCCTAAGCAGACTGCTGCTGTTGATTTATCAAAACGGCTGAAGGATTTAAGGGCGGGGAATGATGGCAGTAGCCAAAAAGGTTTTCTTCAACCCACTGCTCAGTCTTTTACTTGTTGCAAATTTCGGAGAAAACATAATTTGGATCATTTTATTTGTCTTTTGCAGTATGTGTGGTAGGATTTGATAAACATGGTCCATTCCTTACAATAACCAGGGATAATTTGAACCGTTGTGCTTTCATGCATGGTTAATGCATCACAATCTTTAAAATGATGTCATACTACTATAATTTGTATCCCACAACTTTTAAATGATGTCATGCTAACTCTATTTGATCTACACAGTTTTCTCTCTTTTCAAAATAATTTGTCTTGTTATATCTCACTGGGTTGACAAAAAAAATGGAGTTTCTTTTCTTTTTGTATCTAGAATTATTTACAACTCAGAGATACATAGCATGGCAGTTCTAACCGACTGCCCTTTGTTGTCTTGTGTAAGATTATCCTCCCAGAAAGAGAAGACCAGTTGTAGGTGGAAACTGAATCAATTGAATTGAACGTATAATGGTACAGTTAGACTTTACATACATATAAAGACAAAATGATGAGCATTGAAGTCAACCTATGTGGGAAATAAACTTTGTTTCCAGTGTATGCACCGCAGTTAGCAACTTGCTGTTCTGTAATAGAGTGCTTTCCAAGTGGTGGTACTGCTTTGCTAGAGCAGCTTGGCAGCCTTCTCCCGTTTACCCTTCTTGTGAACCTGCTGAACTGATGATATTTTGTGAACATCTCCAGCTCTTGAAGAATGGCGTAAACGGAAGATGGAGCGTGCAAGGCAGCGAGAGATCGAAAAGAATGGGACTTCTAGTGCGAAAACTAAATGAAGTGAGAAGTATTATACAGCACAAGGGGTTTTGTTTTCATGTGCCTTGGTGCTGCTGCATCATGCATTCAACTTAAATATGTCAATCGTAGGCGAGTGGAGCTGTGATAACCGATGTTTTATCACTGGCAGCGATGTTCTTGTATAAATGTGAAATTTTAGTAGTATATGTGATTGTCCATGTTGTTGCGTTTTAACTGTCATGTATCAGTATCAGTTTATTTGTTCATGAAACCATAAATACTGGATGTATTCGGTGAAGTTCTAACTGAAAGAATATACTCCCTGATATTTGGGAGTTGACACTTGACAGTACCTAAGGGCAAGAGTTCTCATTGATCATCGCATAGGTGAAGGGAATTGTCGTTGATCATTGCATAGGTGAAGGAAATTGAGCAAGCTTATAGCGAGCATGGCTGACGAAAGACGAAGATCCTAAACAAACTGCTGCTGTTGATGTATCATCAAAACGGCTGAAAGAGTTAAGGGCAGGGAACGATGGCAGTAGCCAATAGGTTTTATTCAACCCACTGCTCAGTCTCTCACTTGTTGCAAAATTCTCTCACTTGTTGCAAAATTCGGAGAAAGTTAGAAGACATAATTGGATCATTTTATTTGTCTTCCGCAATATCTGTGATAGGTTTTGATAAACACGGTTCATTCCCATGGGTTAAAGCATCAGAATGTTTAAAATGATGTTTTACCACTATCAATTTGTTCCCACAATCTTTAAATGACCAGATCAGACATGGATGATCTGCCTAACTGTATTGGGGCTGTATTGATGATCTGCCGGAGATATGCTCTCTGAGGAGGCAGCAGTAGCTCAGGTAGATTGGGGTGTGTGGTTGACTGGTTCGCGATCTGAACGTTCGAACGAAACGAGGACACATCGCAAGCGTGAGCCCACTCACTCACACACACACACCTGACCTGACACCTCTGCTGATTCCCCGCTCTCTCGGAGGGGTGGGGTCGCCGTGGTCGTCGACGACAGTTCCACCACGGCACCACTTGTCCGGGGCGGGCGCTGTGCCTGCCTCTATAGATGGCCAACGGGCCGGCCCGGCATGGGCCCGTGATAGGCACGGCACGGAAGGGCCCATCGGGCCACCGGCCGCGTGCAAGACTAGTCCATCGTGCAGCCGGCCGACGGCGAGCTGTGCACTACCACTGTCAGGCCAATTTCCGTCTGGGCCGGCCCTATGAGCCCGGCCTTTTAGCAGTCGGGTCGGCCACCGAGGCCCACCAAAAGTGAGAGAGAGGGGGGAGGCGAGGAGTGGAGGTGGGCGGGCCGGCGAAGCCCCGGGTCGCTTGATGCCGGATCCGACGGCACTTACTGGAGGAGGCGAGTCCCGGCAATGTAGCAGTCGGATCCGTGCCAAGTAGTTGGCGGAGTTGGCGCCCATGATGGGGATGGAGGCTGCCCGCCGGCCAAGCCGCAGGCGGGCGCGGAGGAGGCGTCAGAGCGAACGTCTTTGGGGCGGGGTGGAGGCGGCGGCAATGGCGCACTCACGCAGCTTGCGTGGTGGAGGTGGAGCTGGAGGCGGGCATGGGGATGGGGAGGCGGAGTGGAGTGGAGGTGGGCGGCGGCGTGGCTGGGGATGGAGCACGCGGCTTGCGGTTGCCACGCGCCCCACACTGCCCCGTGAACGAAAGAGAGAGGAGCAAGGGAGAAGAGCGATGCCGCATGAGGGGAGGCGGGGAGGGAGGGAGCTAGGCGTGTCGCGAATCGCAGAGGTGGAGGAGGAGATGAGCACCTGGGTGCTGTGGCGCGGGGAGGCGGGAGGGGATGCGTGGGTCTGCGGTGTTAGGGACTTAGGGTTCAGGGGGGTGGGGGCGGCCGGGCGGGCCGGCTACGGGAGCAGCCCGACACTAACTGCCGGGGCTCTTAGCAGGCCCGCTTGCCGGGCCATCACCGGGCCGCGCGCTCTGTAGCGGGCCGTGCCATGCCGGCCCACGTGCCTGGGGTAAGGCCCAGGTACTGTCTGCTGCTCCGGGCCAGGCCAGCCCGGGCCCGCTAGCCTCCATGCCAGGCCATGCTTGGGCCGGGCCAAAAAAAAAAAGGGCCTTGGTTGGGCCGACGGGCTCGGTCCGCATGGCCAATTATACCTGCCTCCGCGCCGTCCATGCGCTAGTCGCGCATTCGCGGTGCACGCGGGAGTGCGCGCGCCACCACAAGCGCGTTCTCCCCCGCACTCGTGGCCGCGCGCGAGCCACCCCCGCTTCCGCCTTCCGCTGAGTGGCCTGCTGCCTCCGCCTGCCACCACCCATTGACCGACCCCCCCCCCCCCGCCCCCCGCCCCAATTCCTCCTCCTCCGAACAACCACCAACTTCACGTTTGTCAGTCAGTCTCGCATCGCATCCCCCGCCGCCTGCCCGCTCCACGCTTGCCACGCCGGCCTCGCTCGCTTCTCCAGAGACGCGGCGCGCGGCGGTTGCGGCAGCTGCGGGCTGACTCCAGCCGTGATGGAGGCCGCGGCGGCGACGCCGCATCTCCTGCACTGCGGCGGCTTCGGCCGCGTCGCGCACCTCCCGGCGCTCCCCGGCCGCCGCCACCGCCACCGACGAGGACAGTTCCCACGCATCCGCGCCGTCGCCACGGAGCCCAAGCCGTCCACCTCCACCTCCTCCTCCTCTCGCGGCAGGACCAGGACCCGTAATGACCTCTCCGACACCGTAAGTTCCAACCCTTCGGTGTGGTCCGATGCTCTCGTCCGTGCTGAGATGTTTGCCTGTCTGTTTGTCTGAATGGGCGTCTGAATGACGCAGAGGTTCGGAGATGTGTCCAAGGAGATCCAGCGCGTGCGCAAGCAGATGGAGCAGGACGAGCAGCTCGCCACGCTCATGCGCGGCCTCCGCGGCCAGAACCTCCGCGACGAGCAGTTTGCTGACGACAATGTCCGACTCCGCCTCGTCGAGGTCAACCTCCTTGATCCCACTTCCGTTAACCTTTCACCCAGCGTGCTCTCTTCTTCTATAACCAGTTACCAATTACAGAGCATCAGAATCACTTCCACCACACAACTCCACAACATTAATTAACGTACTCCGTATGTATAGGTTGTTACTGAATTCCCTTGTTTTTCTTCCTTCCCTGGTTCAAGGTAGAATCCGCGGACAACAACGAGGGGCTGCCTCTTGTGTATAGCCCTGAAATCATATCAGCCTACTGGGGCAAGCGTCCGAGGGCCGTCGCTACTCGAGTTGTGCAGCTGCTGTCTGTTGCCGGTGGTTTCATCTCCCACCTCATATCCGACCTTATTAACAAGAAACTCAAGGAGGTACCTATCGTATTCCTTCCTGCAGCTGTGTTGCCTTCCCTAAACCCATGTAAAATGTGCTTGTTGATCGCTATGTCTTAATTCTATTGCTGTCACATGTTCATCAATCAATAGAATGAAGTGGCTCGCGCAATTGAACTGAGAGAAATCGTGACGTCTCTGGGTCCTGCTTACATCAAGCTTGGGCAAGCGCTAAGTATCCGTCCAGATATTCTGTCCCCTGCAGCGATGACTGAGTTGCAGAAATTATGTGATAAGGTAACATTGCCTCAATAGTTCTTTTATTATGCTTTTCCCTTGCTACTGCATATATATAACACATACCTATTTGCAACGTCAAGGTTCCTTCATTCCCAGATGATATAGCAATGGCTCTTCTGGAAGAAGAGCTTGGTCAGCCTTGGCAGGCAATCTACTCTGAGTTATCGCCCTCCCCCATCGCTGCAGGTATTATACTAGATAACTATGCACTCTCTGCTTTTCACGCTAATCGTATTCCTTGACTATACTTATCCTATGCATCGTACTGCAGCATCTCTGGGACAGGTTTATAAGGGCCGCTTGAAAGAAACAGGAGAACTAGTGGCTGTCAAAGTGCAGAGGCCATTTGTACTTGAGACTGTCACCATCGATTTATTCATCATTAGAAACTTGGGTTTGGTGCTCAGGAGATTTCCGCCGGTATTTTCATCTACTTGGGAAGAATTGGCAGAGACATACCTTTGTTAATTTGAATTGAAACATTGCTGAATACTGTTAGGTATCCGTCGATGTTGTTGGTCTGGTAGATGAGTGGGCTGCTCGATTTTTTGAAGAACTTGATTATGTAAATGAAGGGGAAAATGGCACCTACTTTGCTGAAGTGATGAAAGAAGATCTTCCACAGGTAATTGCTTTGGTAGTCATATATTTACCCTGTGGAAATGGGAAGTTATGTAACAGGATGTTTATAACATCTATATTCTATACTGTTACGGGGTAAAACATTTCAATGTTAGTTTCACTGTCAAAATTCACTTGTGATTTATTTGAAAAATCTTCCAGGTTGTTGTACCAAAGACTTACCATAAATACACATCTAGAAAAGTTCTTACCACACAATGGATAGAGGGAGAGAAATTGTCACAGAGCACAGAGGACGATGTTGGATCATTGGTCAGTGTAGGAGTCATTTGCTATCTGAAACAGGTTAGTTTCAAAAGCATTTTCTGTACATCGTATAAATACTATCCACATCTTATATGATCGAACATATGCATGAACTCACTTGCTGAAGGTAAGGAATAATGTTCTTCAATCTTCACCATCTTATCCATACTCTCTAGTATTCCCATCTTACATGATTGAAGATATGCATGCACTCTAGTCACCTTTTTTAAAGAAAGTATCTTCATGTTATATTTATTATTCTTTGCAGTTGCTTGATACTGGGTTCTTCCACGCCGATCCACATCCAGGCAATATGATTAGAACACCTGATGGAAAGCTGGCTATTCTTGATTTTGGTAGGTCTAGTTTGAAAATCCACAAATAACTCTCTTGTCCAACTATGATATTTTGTGTTGCTTCTCATAAAATTATATACAAACATTATACATTATACAGATATTTTTATGGCACAGATGACTGCTTTACTATTACTTCAATGACACAACAACATTCGTTTAAGAAATTTCTTTCACTCTGCATTACTAACTAGTAAGTTAGTAACTACAGCAGTGCATACTAGTACTAGATTAAATCATGAAAAGTGCAGACCTTTTCAGTAGCATCTAATAGCCTGTTTGTATTGCTTGTAGCAAGAATTCTGCTGACTTTCAAAAGAAAATTAATGTGTCCTTAGATTTTCGATCAGCCTACTTTTGCTATGTTTTTTTTTTCATTTTTTAAGCACATGAAAAAATGAATAAAAATGTGTAATTTTTCTTTGCAGGGCTTGTAACAAAACTAACAGATGATCAAAAGTATGGAATGATTGAAGCAATAGCTCACCTTATTCATCGTGATTATGATGCAATTGTTAAGGACTTTGTGAAGCTTGGTTTTATCCCTGAAGGGGTTAACTTGGATCCTATCTTGCCTGTACTGGCTAAGGTTTTTGATCAGGCACTTGAAGGAGGCGGTGCCAAGAATATTAACTTTCAAGAATTGGCAGCAGATCTAGCACAGATAACTTTTGATTATCCATTCAGGATACCTCCGTATTTTGCTCTGATTATTAGAGCCATTGGAGTATTAGAAGGCATAGCTTTGGTGGGAGATCCTGAATTTGCCATTGTGGATGAAGCATACCCATATATTGCACAGGTCCGCATTCAGCCTTTGATTTAAACTTCGCACACTCCCCATACATTTCTACCATGTACATGGACACTTGCTACTAAAACATTCCTCCTCTATCAAAGAAACACACATAGGAGGCACAAAGAAGTTCTGATGGGGGATTTGCTTTAAAGTTCCATATTACTAATCTGTGGTTTTATTTGACAATATCAGAGGCTACTAACAGACGAATCACCTCGGCTAAGGAGTGCCTTGCGTTACACAATATATGGCAAAACTGGTGTTTTCGATGCAGAAAGGTTCATTGATGTTATGCAAGCTTTCGAGAATTTTATTCGTGCAGCTAAGAGCGGTGGTGGGGAGAACTTGAAGGGAAACATGGCTGAGCTGGCTGATTTAGGAGGTCAACCTAGCGCCAGTTTGGTTCCTGTATTTCCAATGGCCATAGCACAGCCTGAGCAGCCGGTTAAAGCCCGTGCAGCACTTGCTTTTCTACTCTCTGAGAGGGGGAACTTCTTTCGGGAATTCATTCTTGATGAGGTAAGCTCTTATGTTACAGCAGCTGATAATTACTTGTGGGCCAGGAGTTGTACTTGACATATTAATTTCCTTGATATAGACAAATGCTCATTCAAAATTTCCGACTAAAGCTTTCTTATTTTCTGCATTGCAGATTGTGAAAGCCATTGATGCAATTTCAAGGGAGCAATTAATCCAGATTGCTGCATCTTTTGGGATAGGAAACGCGACCCCAGTTTTTAGCATGGTTCCTGTTAGGGCCAGGGCATTGCTTCCAACAATCACAGAGGAAGACAGGGTCATCTTGAACAATGTCGAGAAGGTTGTGAAGTTCCTAACATCTGGGACTGCAACTCCAACAGTCGGTGGGGTATGGGTGCTAAGCTCTGCTCTTTTTTTTTAATTTTATTTAACTAAAGAACCAATGTTGAAGGTTGCTGACATTCATTTTTGTCGTTGGCAGGACGTAAACATGGTGTCTGTAGTGCAAGAGCTTCTACCTGTGTTGCCGGGCATCTCATCGAAGATCCTACCTGATGTCTTGAGCCGGTTGTCATCACGCGTATTTACACGGCTGATCCGAGAGGCATTTTTGTAAAGTGTTTTTTTTTTCTTTTTTCCCCGATACTAACAGGAAACTACAATTAGTTATAGTTATATCTGCCCACAAAACACACAAATGATGATAGAAGATTGTACAGCAATACGATGTATAGAATTTATATCCATGCAAGTTAACCAAAGCTTAACCAACACTGGCAGTGTTGTGCAATCATGCACATGATACCGTGTGCATTTCTTTTACCACATACAAAATTTGATCTTCTGAAGATAGTTTAACAGAAACAATATATTACCATTGACCGTCGCAAATTTCACATGATTGTTTATTTTTCGCAATTTCAATTTACACTAACGTGCTTGCGGAGAAGCAAGGGATTTGCTCTCCCAGCAACAAACAATGGATGTGCTCTCCCAGACAACAAACAATAATGCCTAGAACTTGGGAACAGAAACGAGACATGTCTGCTGGCATTCCCTGGCAATGTAAGATTGAAGAACATGCACGCAGAGCAGCAAATACAATTCCCGACAGCATCTTTCGATCATCGAGCTTGTTCGGCTGGCTTATTCGGCTGGCTGGGGCTGGCCAGGCCACTCAGCGGGGCACTGTTCACGTCCTGCCAGAACAGTATTTTCCTTTTACAACAATCAGCCGGAACAGTATTTTTCTCTCACAGCAATCAGCCGGAACGGTACTGATACTGGTACAGGAGTTCACGCCTTACACATCTCGTAATGAGCTTAGTTCAGCAAACTAATAGTTTTGAGTCTAATCTTCTGTTGGCTTGACAACTGCTTCAACCTCTGCGATTGTACTCTCAGCTTCTGCAATCTCAGCACCTTGCTCATTTGACTCCTTCAGTTCAGCCTGCAACGATACAATCGCTGAAATGTACGACGAGAATACTGCACAATATTGAAGGATATATAGACACAGAATTTTTATGCCATACCAGTGTTGCTTTCAAGTCAGCCAGTGCAGTTTCAAGTCGCTTGTGGCAGTCTGGGACCATCATCCTTGACTCAGCTAAAACATTCTCCTGCAGAGGTGAAGTTCAAGTTTCGATAGATTCGTGAGTTCTAAGATCAGAACAGCTGACAATTTCAAGAATGACTTTGTCACAATCTCAGTTACATGAAAAGGAGAAAACCACATCAATGGCTTCATGTGGTGCCTGACAAACGCAATGCATCTGAGAAATGAGAAATCGGTTTAATGCTAGGACAAAGAAAACAGCGACGCGATGATCAACAACCAGTTACTCCTATTCTTATAGGCTCAAGGGATCAGAAGCTCATATGTTTTTATCAGAATATATTTTTCAGAAACAGAGTATATCCTCTCAATGGATGGAAATGCAGAAACTTCAGACCCATGAACCATCCTGTTTTTCCAAGGCTAAACCGAAATAATTATCGCACAGCAATCTGGAAGTAGTAACCTAAATAGATGCAGACTGAAAGACCAGTGAGTAATGCTACTACAAGAACTGCTGTTAACATATCAGATCACAACCAGTGGCAGGTATTGTAATGTAAGCCTTCAGCCACGCAACATACTATGATCTTAGTTTGCTTTGCAAGCAGCCAAGCACTAGGGCAGGGTGGGGTCAATAACTGCGTCGAGAGAGAGGAAAAAAAAAAGGTAGTAGAAGAATACTCTGAGAATCAGAGGGACTTGTCATCACCTGCTGTTTGAGATCGTAGGGATCGGCACCCTTCTCCTTCATGTCGGCGGTCTTGGCCGCCTCCTTCTCCACCTCCTTCTCGTACGAGCGCAGCTCCTTCACGATCCTCTTGCACGTCGACGTCTTGATCTTCAGGTTCCTCAGTGTTGCCATCCTAGAATGGAATGCACGAGGCAGCGGCAGATCCAACAAAGGATTTTGCCAAAAAAAACGAAATTAGCACGCACAATGCATGCAGACACTTACACAGTTACGCTTGTGATTGGATCAGATCCGGATACGGATAGCCAAATACTAGCTTGAATTAGGGTTCGGGGTCGGGTGCTCAGTTTCGCGGAGAAGAAGGGGAGAGAGGGGGACGGGCGTACCTGCCGTGGTGGGCGCTCGTCGCCGGCGAAGGGTGCAGCTGGGAGTAGGGCGGCGGCGGCGGTCTGGTCCCGTGGATGCGGAAAACGGCCGAATCGAGCGTGTAGGCGAAGTGAACGGCGGAAACGAAGAAAACAGCAAACAGGTGTAAACGCAGGGCTATTGGGCCGATTTCTCTCTCTGTTTTCCTTTCTTTTTCTGCCGGTGCACGCGCATGACTGGGCTGCTTCGGTAGGGAGAGCGGCCCATGAAACTGGTTCATTTCTTCTTTCTTGGTTTCCATTCTCTTTAGTTTTTCTTTCTTTTGACAAAACACTTGGTTCTTTTTTTAATTTTATTTTACTTCAAACTACTTTTATTGTTACAAATATTTTCATTAATAATTATTTCTACCTCTTTGAGATCCACTAGTAAAGTATTTTTTTTCTTTTTTGTCGTTGACTTAGGGAAAATTTTTGTTATAGGTCTTTTTAAATTTGTGCTCTGATTAATTTTATAACCTCACATGAATATGCCATGATATGTAACATTTTCCTTGTGATGTTGAAACGTTTTTCTCTCAATGTTGGAACATATTTTTTTCACGATGTTGGGATAAATTTCTCCTAAACAAAGAACATTTTGGTCATGAAGCCAAAACATTTTCTTATGAAGCTGCTGCATTTTCCTAGTGAAGTTAGAATATTTTTTTTTCACAAAGGTAGAACATGTCTTTTTAAGCAAGGATATTTTTCTTCTTAAGTTGGAACATTTTGTTTGCACATCCTCCCTTCCCACGGTAGGTACTCCAATTTCCTAATTTTGTATGTCACCATGCACCTGATCTGCATCCAGATGATCCTCTCTCCCGGCTGGACCATCTTAATGAGCACAATTAATCATGATCTGGCACCTCATCCAGTGTGACGCACAGACAAATTAATCAAGATCTGGCACCTCATGATTTTAACTGTAATTTGATAATACCGCCCCTGATGATCCCCGTCAGAAAAAAAACATTCTTGATTGGCGGGGAACTGTCAGCTTAGTTGTAACACAGATCAGTGCTGAGTTGTTTTTAGAGTGTGTATTACTGTATTAAAATGGCCCAACTAAACTCAGAGGATTTCATCTGTGATAGTTCAGGCAGTTGGAGTTTTTAAAGATTGTCGCAGTGCTATATATACAAAATTGTGTTCATGTGGTTGCTTAGGAAAATCTGCCATGTTGCAGAGTATATCACCTAGTAATTAATAAGTTGCAATTTTGCAGCATCTGTGAAAGGTCCTAAATTAGCAATCTCTCTACTATCACTGATATTATATTAGAAAAATGATAGTACCAACGTACCAATTTAATTTCCATGCTGTCCTGCAGTCAGTACGGTGCATGTTACGAAAAAAGATATGAATGAAAACGGTGTACTTTTTGGCGCATGCATGTGCACACGACAGATCCTTGAATTGTGAGCTGAATTTCTGCTCACTGAAAAAAGGACACTGTTTTCATTCATAGTTTTTTCTTATTGCTTCAGTATGTAAGCCCTATGAACGAACTAAAAATATGCAGAATAAATCTGGAATCAAGGACCATAAGATTCTTCGTGGCTAATGGCTGGCCTTTTAATTATTTTTTTTGTATTGGATTTTAGTGGAGTGCGTGGTCGCATAATAAGTTAAAAAAACTTACGGATTGCGTGTAAACTTGTAAAAAGAGTTTTTGTATCATGCTTCTTCTCTGAACAAGTTTAAAGCTGAAACTTTTGCGTTATTTAGGAAAAAAATTATGAACTGAATCTATGTATTATATTTATATATTATTACTACAGTCCATGTTGTGTGTTGCTCGTATCAGTGCAAGCATGAAGCAGCAGCTTGTGTACGTGTAGACGCACGTGAACGTTCGGTATGAGCAGTGGTGTGGTCCTGCTGTGTATATTCAACAACAAGAAGAAAACTGGCTGGGGCTTTATAGCGTACTGATGTTGGTCACCCTTGCTCCTTTAATTTCTGGTCTTCTGGATGTGCCTGCCTGTTCGTTGGAGTTGGACCACATGCATGCATATCCATCTGTCCACTTTGTGTTCCAATTCTAAGATTGCGGCTAATAATATATATGCTTTCATTTTGGGCAGCTGTGTGGCAAGAAATCGTCGTTGAACCAGTAAAAACATATATGTACATACACAAAATAAATCAATTTTAAGGATCACCCTAGGTGACATCTTTAGTTTGATCAATTTTATAGAAAAATATAACAACATCCATCCACGACACCAGAGAAGTATATTATACTGTGAAACATATATTTCATGATAAGTCCATTGATACTGGTTTGGTATTGTAAGTATATGTGTACTTTTATGTAAGATTGCTCAAATTTAAAATAGTTTGACTTAGAACAATTCTAGATCGTAGTTGAATCTAATTTGGGACAGAAAGTCGATGATATACTGATGAGTAAACCCCATTCTATATTTTTCTCTTGCTGAAGAATGGTACGGCCATACGGTCCAAATATCTGAGAATATTGGTCCCGTTCGTTTCGCTGAAAAAATAAACCGAAACATTGTTTCGATTAATTTGTCGTGAGAAGAAATATTGATCCGGCTGAAAAAAACAAACTTAGATCATAAGAGAACCGAACCGGCCATTGTACCGAGGAATTCGACTAGACAGGAATTCGACTAGACAGTGCATTCAATCAGCTTCATTTCCCATAAGTAAAGTACAGAGGCTTGCATAGTTGAACTACTATACTGTTTGAGCTTGAAAATCTTTTTATTCTTCATCCATTTATTTAGGCCCGTTTAGATCATTTTTTTTATTTTGGCTACTGTAGCACTTTCGTTTGTATTTGGCAATTATTGTCTAATTATGGACTAATTAAGTTCAAAAGTTTCATCTCGTAATTTCTCACCCAACTATGTAATTAGTTTTTTTTCATCTACATTATGAATGTGCCGTAAAATTCGATGTAATCGATACTGTATAAAAAATTTTGGAATCTAAACGGAGCGTTAGGTGCATGCAATGCAGGACGTGTCTGATTTGACGGTACAGCGGAGTCGTCGCTGCATAGGTGTCTCAGCGTCCGTAAGGGCTTCTTTAGATTGTAAATTTTTGCAATCTGAACACTGTAGCATATTTTATTTATATTTGACAAATTTTGTTCTATCATAGATTAATTAGGCTTAAAAGATTCGTCTCGTGATTTACAACCAAACTGTGTAATTAGTTTTTTTTACCTACATTTAATGCTCCATACATGTGTCAAAAATTAATGTGATGGAGAGAGAGTGAAAAAATTTGGAATTTTAAGGCAATCTAAGGCCTTGTTTAGCTACCCTCAAAATTTCAAGTTTTTTCACTCTCTCTCCATCACATCAATTTTTAACCGTTTGCATGGAGCATTAAATGTAGGTAAAAAAATAACTAATTGCACAGTTTAGTTGGAAATCACGAGATGAATCTTTTGAGCTTAGTTGGTCCACGATTAAACAATATTTACCAAATAAGACGAAAGTGCTACTATTCATCGGTTTGAAATTTTTTTCAATCTAAACAAGGCCTAAGTAAGGCCTAAGTATAGGATGGGCCGGGACGACTAGTCCTTGCACTAGAGTGTGCTAGCTGGCAGGTGGGCCCTCCGGAAGTGGGTCAATGCTGCGTCTGCGTGATGGGTACGTACTTGCATGATTGTTGTGTTGTCTAGGTACACGCCTGCTCTTTACTCGTCTCACAAGTCACATGATGTGCTTATAGCAGTGTAGCTCATGCATTGCAGTAGCAACGCAACGTACTGGGAGCAATATTCTATCATATACCTCTGTTTTCTTATTATTATACTCCCTCTGTCCCATTTTATTTGACGTTCTGGCAAGTCATTTGGAGGTCCAGATTCATTCAAAGCTGCATGCATGTGGACAGAACCAATGTACAGATTCAAAGAATCTTTGATGTACTTGATACAGAGGTAAAACGTCACATATAATGGGACAGAGGGAGTATACATGTATGATTGATTGCTGGTATTAGTCTATATATCATATACTTATGCAGTATGATTTGCTTGTGTTTGATTATTTACATAAGTAGATCTATGCAGACTTGCACGGTGCTCAAAAGCAATAGCTAGTACACCATAAGACTGTCCATGGCGTTACCGGTGCTAAAAAAAAATTAACCCTGCGACGGGGCACCCGATACCTCAACTCCTCCATACCCACAACATCGGCACCGATGCCTTTCTGTGTGTGGACCCCAACCACAGAACCATCCCCTTCCTTCTCGATATTTCACACCCGAGAAACTTTTTCTCTTCCGTCTCCGCTCCGATCTCTCCACCCAAATCATCCCTCTGGAACCATGTGAATCGATCTCTCCATCCCCAAATCAAGCCTGCCTTCCTCCAAATCACGAATCCATAGCACACCATGGTCGACCAGGTCAACGTATGCCGCGCAGCCGATGCGGACGCCAGCCCCCCATGATTCGCCGCCACCACCACGCCATGGGCGCCGCCACCAGTCATGGGTAAGCATCATCACCAAGACGATAGGGGAGCCGCATGCTAGCCACGCGCCGCATCACGTCGCGGGCGCCGACATCACCAGACGGCAGCGGTCGCCGCATAAGCCCCACCGCAATGGTCGCCAAAGAAGTGGAAACCCCCGCCATGGGACCCGGCGATCACCGCGACAGTTCTCAACGATGCTCTAGCGGGAGCCACAGTTAACTGAGCCCAGCTCTAGGTGTGTCCTCCAAATAATCCCTTTCTTGTTGACGAAAAGTCTTGATGATATTGCA